CAAGGGGAAAACCTTAAGGGAGCGATCTCGCGATCGCGACAATGTTATTCATCATGCGTAAGATTGTTTTGTTGAATTGTAAGCTTGCTAGAGTAATTTGAAACCTACTTGGAATTTGCTCATACGCGAGAATTTCTAGTGAAATGATTTTTTCCATTCTTAATTCTTTCTCCCAATCCGAAACAAATATGCCGTTTAGTGAAGAAGGACTGCCTTCAAAACATATTAAAATTTGAACTGATTTGATTCAGCAGAAAAGAAGTTTACAAAAAAGTAATCCACCGAAGACTTTTGAGCGTTACTGTATCTACCAGCACTTTTTTCACGAGACATGAACTTACCTCCATGATACCACCCATAATCTTGGCGTCTTCCACACCCAAGCCACGCTCTTGGAATTCGACCGAATTCATCTTTATTCCTAACAGAAAGTCTTTGGACGTGATCTCCTTTCTAAACATCAGTGTTGACATAGACTGAAAAATGTCTTTTCTTGAAAACCTCTCCACGTAGCTATTTAGATTGGCATAGATTCACCTAATTCCTTCGTAAATTTCAAGAATAACTGTCATTCTGTCTTTTGCAGAGCCTCCGTATTTATCCTTTCGATTATTCGTCATTGGCGACAGGAATGACGACAATAAGTAGCCGTGAGCTGCATGAAGTTGAACTCCATCAAACCCTGCAGTAACCTTGAATGATTGCAAACATTGCACTGAGATAATGGGTCGGTTTGAGTAAATGAGGATTGTGAAAGTGCAGTAATACCGGTGTCACGAGCAAGGCCACGAGCGACATCGCGCAAACGGATAACGCGCTACTTGTGCCTGACGGATATGAATAAAAACGGGGTTTGGCGCGGTGAGCAGCCAGGTTGTGATGCTCTCATCCTAACTCATCTCTTTCAGGTCCATATACTAATACTTATTGGAAAAATTGAAGTCAAACAAAAATCGAACCAGCTACATTGCCTCCAGAGTTACCACTCCATAGAACCAATAAAGCGTCAACCAGGTTAACGAGCGGAGAATGTGGCGCAGCGAGGCTAACCTAACGGTCTCAATGCAGTCGCTAATATGTCACGTGTGAAAAACTGTCGATGGCTGGCATTTACCAAAGTTTCTATATCTTGATATTTCTCATGAAAAAATTGGTATGCCTACGCTGTAATGGAATAGGCATCAATACAAGCGCATGGACACAAAGGGACAGCGCGGTACACATGCGACTCGCGTTGTCCCAAGTGGTCTGCAAGTGCGGATCGTATGTGTGCCGTGCCGTCGTTAATGTGTAAACGAAAATGACCCTTTACAATAGGATGCAAAAAAACTAACCATGATCGTGAAACGAATTCGACAACCTCTGTCTGACCTGTGCTTCGCTTAGCGCGATCGGTGTTCCGAATCTTAGAGGAACTGTCTTAGATTTAATTCCGAGATCCGAACATGAGAACGGATGTAAATTTACTGCTTCTTGTGTTTGACGTCCGCTCCTTGATTAACTGCATCGCGTCCATTAACAATTAGCATTGCAAGTTTCTAACACCACGCGAAAGGATCCCGAGGTCGCGGGTCCGCCATTAGCCGATTCAAGAAGAGATGCATCACGTCAAGAAGTGCCTTCGACACGTTGATTTTACAAATCTTCCTTTCGATTATCTGCTAAATGGATTCTTGATGAAGTTATGAAGCAAAATAGCGTTCTAGGAGTGGTCGCGACCTTACCGGCAAATAACGGTCTGTGGATCGACTCTCTGTTCGTGTTTTTTTTGTCTTGCTCTCTAAATGAAAACTGATGAATGCGAGCCTTAATGGCCGCCATAAGCCGGTCCTGAACATCGTATACAACACGACCCGGAGGGGATATATCCCCGACGACCTTTGGGGCTTGTTGCAGATGACCTTCGGTGATATACCTCCGGCCGGGTATACACCCGAAGGTCGACCTTATGCAAGAAGCCGCGAAGGTCGTCGGGGACATATCCCGACCGTAACTCGGGCTCTGTTGCATTAGGGCCCATGAGATGACGTCTCCAATGGGTACTATTCATAGACGTCACTTCTTGAATGGAGATGGCGAACTGGGTTCCTTTCCATACAAAACATGTCGTTATAGATTCAGAGAACCCCACGTACATGTGATAACTGAACAACAGCCAAGGCTCCATCCTGTTTCATTGTTTCCGCTAATTTTGAAGTCATTTCTCGGAGTTGTGGGCAATCATTTTCCTTGCTGAAGATCGCGTTCCCGACTGACTCTAGATGGTTCTGAAATTCTTACGCTTGCTAATTTCTCCTAATACATCCCCACACGAATAAGCCTCGCCAATAAATGTCTCGATAACAAGCCCGTCCAAAACCTCCCCTCAAAAAATCACCGCGTCGAAAAATCCACGCAAAAATCACTGCGCCTCTCCAGCCTTTGTTGATCACCTCAAACCACGATTCGTGATAATGTCCATACCCGGGACAGGCCTTACTGGGCAGTGAGAAGGAAGAGTGTCCTCAGCGGCAGGATGGATGACATTGTCACTGCCCTCCATATGCCCGCAACGGGCACATGCACTGTAGCTTGCTTCAACGCTTTCGTAGTGAGGGAATTTGACCAAATTAATCTACACCCGTCAAAAACACAATTTTCTCTCCCCCTCCCCCCGATACGACCCATTCGAGATCCCCTAAGTACGTCCTTCCCGACAATATCTTACTTGAACCGGAATAACCTGGTCTGCTGAATACCTCAAAATCCCGATAGCCGAGCCCCCCCCCCCTCGACAATTAACTGACTTAATAATTCATGAATTTTGCGATTTTTAGAAGATCTACAATGTACTTCGGATGTTCTTTGCGACTTATACGAATACTGAATCAAGATCTTCTCAAACATCGAAAGGTAACATGATTTCCTGCTTTAGATCCCAACACAACTGCATCCATACTCCAACCATAGATTTAAATACCTATCCAATCATAAGAGGCAAAAAACCGAGAACGAACCGGTTCCACACAGATGTTACCAGTAAGGGTCATGCCGAACTTTCCGTGACCCCACTTATCGTAGAGATTGATGAGTTCTTGAGTTGGAACGCCGCGTTTTGATGGATTTTTAGCGTCCCATGTACTTATCCGTTCTGTTAGAGCTGCCTGAATTTCATGAAAATATTAATGTTGCAGAGTACCGTTTTTGTGAACTCACCTTGAGAAATCTGTTCTCACCTTGAGAAATCTGTTCTGCGCAGTGCGACCATTTCGGAATGTAAGCGGTTGTCCAAGAATAGCGACATCCGTTGGTTCCGCAGGAATGCGACAATGAATTGACTAAATCCAAGAGTCTTGCAGTAACGCCTGATTTTGTCTCAGCGCTGCATTGCTGAGTCAAAATCAGGTTATCATCAGGCTTTGCTACAGTCGCGCAACACTCGTCATTATGGCTCACTTGAAGGCAGAGTTTACGATGAAAAAAAACAGCCCACTTTAAATCGAGGTAGACGTAATCAACTATGCAGGAATGGAGAAGAAACCGAGAAAACAACCTAGAACAAAAATTGCCCTCCTTTTGCCTGCTGAACTGCGCGTTAGGAAGGTCTCATCGGTGATGACCTTATCAACGTTAATGCTCTGCTAGGTGGTTAGAGCCATACGGCGAGGGGGTGGGCGTGCCGCGTCGATGGCTATGTTAGATCCCCGTGGCATATCCTTCGCAGCGAATTGCGTGTCTGTCTTGGGGTCTGCCTGTATTCCCACTAGGTAGTTTCCGCCACACGTGCCTTACGGAAAGGGGTCTACTTCGTGCCGCCTACAGTAAGCACAATTTTCGAATGGCAGAAGCTTTGGTATAGGTGTAAAGGTGTAAAGGCAAAGTAATAAGCGCAATCCTTGAATCCCCTCATCCCCTGCAAAAATTCAAATTAGTGCAGGTGGCGCGGACTATTGTACCACATCCACTATTTCCGGAATAAAGAGCGGAAAAATCCACGGTTCAGACGAGTTAGCAGCATTTCTTTTTTAGAATTTACAAAAGTGGAGAATACAAACAAACTTCAACCCTTCTCACACATTTTTTAAGCCATCAATCAATTGGTTTTTATATGAAACCAGCCGTTCACGACAATCAGATGTTGGTCAAACAGTATTATATTGAGGGAGAGGTGTTCAATGGTTCAACTGTGAAGAGGACATCACAAGACACAACAACAACAACTCATGTAAGATAGAGTCCTTAAAGGCAAACCCCGGGATTAGCCCGACTAGTAGGAAGGATACCGCGAGGGAAATTGTAAGGTCCGTACCTACCTAGATCACTCCAGCTTCGTCGCAAAAATTGCGCGGTTAGGGCGCTAATCCTTACGGGCCTGCAACCATCGACCCCGTTCCAACGCTTCCCACCCACCGCGAGAGGTGGTGAGATCAGCGTGCATTGATGTAGAGATCAGCGTGCTCTCTCAAACGACGTGCTCTCTCGCGTATTTTGTCTTCTTTGACGCCCTGTCTCGCCATCGTACCACATCCGACCTTATTGAAGGTTAAGGCCTTAATTTCAGCGTTCCCAAAGATTTCTCTTGCTTTCCTTTCCACTTTCAGGTCGTTCCGCAGCTAAGCTATCACTACGAAGCGCTCTAGCACCAGTTTAATCCCGGGTTTGCCTTTAAAGATTGGAAAACAGATTTGTTCGAAATAAAAGCGCCTTCGAAATTAAACGAAAACGAAAATGATAGCAGACAAGCGTCCGCAGCCTCTTTTGGAGGTGGTGTCGCTTAGGAGACTGGGCTAATTTTTTGCTATGAGCGTATTTCGTCGATAAAGTCCCCCACCTCATGCTTCTTTAACATGCTTTTGTTACCACAGGCATTATACATATTTAGGTTGTCTCAAAAGTTCGTGCGTGTTTTTTGAAATTCGCGCCAAAATTTTCTTTATTGATTGAGCAAGCTGGTAACGAGGGCAATGTAGAGCACATTGTATAAGGTAACCCATATCCTAATCTGGCTTGCACCAGTTGCGGTTTTCTTGCAAAAAATGGCAGATGAAAAACTTCACCTCCGCCACGCTTTGCTGTATGAGTTCCAATTGGGCCACAACGCAGCCGAAGCCACTCGCAACGTTGTTCTGGTTGGGATCTCGTTGATTGATCGTCCAAGTTAGTTTCTCCGGAACACGCCTTATACGCCCACCCCCCCCCCCCCCCCCCCCCCCCCCCCCCCCCCCCCCCCCCCCCCCCCCCCCCCCCCCCCCCCCCCCCCCCCCCCCCCCCCCCCCCCCCCCCCCCCCCCCCCCCCCCCCCCCCCCCCCCCCCCCACCACCCCACACACCCCACCCCAACCCCCGCACACACAAACACACCCGCACCACCCGTTACAGCTCGATCTGGAGCCCTTTCTGATTACCACCTATTCTTGTCTCTAAGTAGCCATCTTGCGGCAAGAAGTACGATTCTCAGGAGGACCTCAAAAATGACCTCACCATCTTTTTCAGTTCGAAACCGCAAGACTTCTGGAAGCGAGGCATCCATTCTTTGCCTAGCCGTTGGCGACAAGTTGTTGATAATAATGGTGATATATTGTTAATTGATATTGCTTGCTTTTGAAATAAAGTTAAATAAAAAAATGTTCGAAATACGCACGAACTTTTGAGACAACCAAATATATTCATAGTGGTCATAAATATGGTGATTAAAATTGATTTGTGGCCCAGTGTCGATCCAGAAAGGGTCAAAACGAGATTACGAAGCTCAGGCAAACACGTATCTCATCACCCTTTTGATCACATTAAATCTGACAACTTACTTAAAAATGGCTTCAGGAAAAGTTGACAGTTTCCTCCAAAAAGTTCTACAGAAGTCGACCCTCTCCCATGACTCCACCAAATTCCTTATCCTCTTTTGAAAGAGCTATCGACCACTCATCGAAGGGGAATTAATCGATGAAAAGGTAGCACATCCGAAATAAGGGTAGAGGAGGTCAGTGAAGCAGGGATGAAGAGGAAACCATGTGAAACGGCAATGAACCCGAAAAATGGGACACCTTCCTTGCTCGTCGACTTACGCATTGATACGACTTTCATTGTTCTGCCCTCTTCAATTGCAACGCTCTCTCTATCTCGGGCTACACTAATCACTAACCGATATATAGACCAATATACAACGACTCGCGGCAGAGTGATAGATATTCGCTGGGCTGTTCCGGGCAATTTAGCGCTGAAGAGAGCCATCTAGACCGTGGGAACACATCCTTTGATGACCGATCGTTGCGCACCCATAGCGTTGTACCGCCATGTCCCTCACTAGGTTACGTTTCCCCCTTTTTTCGACAATCTGTTTTATCGCTACAGTTCTCCTTAAAAAGAATTACGCCGTACATTGAAATCGAAGCTCAGGCTGGGAAATTCCTGTCGAACGGCGGTAGAGTTTGACGCAGAATGGGCTATGCAGAAGTCCATGAAAATTCACTCACCGAAGCAGTACATCGCCTCGTCAGTGATGACCGGTCGTGTATGGGTAGAAGCATTGTGGCGGAACGCGCCCTACAGAATTGCCTAACATCGGATAGCTTTTCACTTATAGGTTTTTATCTCCTCAACCACAGACTCGCGAACAAATTAACTGAAGAAGGAAGTCGCGGGCTTAGCTCAGGTCCCAGTCATCGTTGAGCTAGTCAGTAAGGTCTCGAGATAAAGTTGCATTTGCTGTAGCTGATCTTATCACCATTTTTAAGCACTACCCTGTATACACCACTCGTGGATGCTATTGGTAAGTAATTATATCTACTCATTGATTTCGAAAGCAAACTTCCGGTAAGCTTATGTTACCGCGATCTTCAAAAAAGGGTAATAAGGTGCTACCAGTGAACAAGAGTCAACAAGCCGCCGAAGATCAAAGTGGCTTTTGTAGAAGTTATTACAACTTTAACACATTGCGTACCGTGTGCGCCACATGGCGGCGCACGACTTTCCTGCTTCGTGTGGCCGCGTGCGCCACATGGTGGCGCACGACTTCTGAATTGGTTTTCTTCACAGTGGCTGTCGATGTTCATTCCATGTTTGCGCAGATGTATGTTATCTCACTAGGAGAACAACATACTTGAGTGGGACATCTCCAGCTTGTGAGCTAATATTTTTATGTGACACTAATAAGAGCCTAGGTTGCTAATTAAATTTGCTTGAATAAAATACATTCTTTCGAGCAAATTCAACAGTCACCGCAATCTAATGTAATCCAACTGAGCTGCAATAATGTGTTTCAGCCAAAAGCTTCGCGTAAATAAAGTGATGTGCCAGCGGAACATCAGCGTAAAGGCTTTCGGAGGCGCTTCTTCCACTTAACTTGCCTTTTGGCTGTATACTTTTGAAGTCTCGTGGTTTTAGGCACTCACCTTCATAATAACCTCTACTTACTCCTACTCACGCTTGCGCTACCCTCGTATCAAAATCGATAATAAATGTTCGGCAAATTATGGGTGTAATACACCCACATCCCTTGAAGTCCAGTGGAGGGTGAAATGCACCTACGAATATCCTGTAAACTGAATAAACCTCATTGCTGTTCAATAAACATGCTTAAGCAGGTTGTGGGGTAAAGGAACGAACTTGTTGCCATCGCTTTTTTTCACCAGAACTTGGTCAGAGCAGATTTTTTGATCCCTCACTACCGCTGTTATATAATCATTCGATAGCCACTTGGAATGTTCATGACAATTCAAATAGGCAAAAATTATAACGTAGTCCTAACAAAATTGTGACTTAGCAAGACAATAAAAAAAACAAAGTGGTAAAGGACCCTCTAAAAAGGATTTTGAAAAATCTATCTGTCCCGTGTGGCCGCATGCGCCACCATGTGGCGCACGGTGCGAATGCATGCGCGGCCAGGCGAGCTCGCCAGCGCAAAAACGGCTTGGTACGCAATGTGTTAATAAAGCGAGGGATTACGATAAGTTGGACTGGGTTCATAGTGGAAGTGGAGATGCTGAATAATGCCCCAGTGGCGAAAAAAGCAAAGAAATCCGTCAAGAAGGCGCAAAATGGGACCCCTTTCTTTGCCCGTTGACCTCCGATAATGGACGAGCTAGCAACCAATTAGGAGGTCGTTTGCACATGTTATGCTGATAGCCTCTATCATTTCAGCAAGCATCATGCTTTGATTGATCACGCATCCCATGAAAAAGTTATAGGATACACTCTGGAAGTGGAATATCTCGTCACATTGGCAATCGAAGGGCGCTGCTGCTGGGGGCGGAGCACAGACCGTGGCGGGGCTCAGAAAGGAATGGCAAGCCTTGTACGCTGCAACTAGCGCACCTTTGACCACAAAAACGCAACATTTCGTT